GTTGTGCTACAATGCTGCACTCCACAATTATGTTTTCCACTGTACATTTTTCATTGTCTCAACTTTTTAATGTAGACTGAAAGAATAAGATTTTATTATCCCAGAAATAGAACCTTTCTCTGTCCAAATAATTACTTTCATGAAAATAGTTCTAAAACCTGAATGTTCACATGGACTATATGATGAAACTTCATAACTTCATGGAAAATGGAAATAAAGGACAAATTTATTTTTGTGTGGATCTACAAGTGCTTAAGGAAATAGAATAAATAAGAGAGGGCTCCCTGACTCTTAGAAATCTCACATGCAATTTCTGTCATCTGTAAGCTAGCCACCTTGTTAGTGATTTTTCCCTACAGCCTCCTGAACAGAATCAGAAAGACAGTGCCAGATAGACATCTCAAGATTTTAGGAGGAGAGTGATACAACTGGATGTTCACTTTAGAAAGATGTGTTATCAGGCTGGACACTTGGAAGGAAGTCCCTGCAATAGACCTAGTAGGTGATGGAATTGTTTTATTTTGCAATGCTGTTGATGATGTTAACATGCAGAGTCCATTCCAGGGAACACCAGAATCCTGGCCATGGCCCATAGGATCTCTGCATGTCACTCACTAAAATAAGTAAGGCAGGTTGGCATTTGATGCAGTGGTTAGTTAAGATTTTTTTGGGGGATGCCTGCATCCTATATCACAGAGCCTGGGCTGAGATCTGGCTCTGCTCCTATTCCTAGCTTCCTGCTAATGTGCATGTTCTCCCCCTCCCCACTTTCTTCCTTCCTTTACCTTGGGAAGTAAGTCATCATCCTACTTATCCTGCAATATTTTATCTAGATATTGTCCGTGCTCTCACATTTTCTTACTACCCAGATGTGGTTTTCTGGTTTCAGATGTGCCCCAGACAAGCAAGATGGCCTATACCTTTCCTTTAGATCACTGGGCCTCTTATGTGTTAGGGACGATGTGGGCTATTTTATCCCTATGATCTAAAGTTGCTCTTTGTAGTCCTTGACTCTAAGTCAGAGATAAAAGGAATAGGTGAGGGTCCAGTGCTGTGGCATAGTGACTAAAGCCACCACCTGCAGTGCCAGCATTCCATATGGGCACTGGTTCAAATCCCGACTGCTCCACTTCCCATCTAGCTCTCTGATATGGTCTGGGAAAGCAGTGGAAGGTAGCCCAAGTGCTTGAGCCCCTGCACCCATGTGGGAAACCTGGAAGAAGCTCCTGTCTCCTGGCTTCGGATCGGCACAGCTCCCGTAGCTGTGGCCATCTGGGGAGTGGACCAGTGGATGGAAGACCTCTCTCTCTGCCTCTGCCTCTCCGTAACCCTGCCTTTCAAATAAAACAACACACACACACACACAAACCAAAGGGAATAGATTTGTCTCCCAGAGGCTAATGGACAGAGATCGGTCAGCATTACAAAATGTTGCCTATAACAAGTGACAGACTATAGAATTCCTAATTTTGTAATAGTAATATTGTTTTTCTCCCAAATGGTGGAGTTAGAATCATGCCAGGGAATCCCAATACAATCCCATCAAGGTGGCATGTACCAACGCCATCTCACTAGGCCAAGTGATCAATTTCAGTTCACAATTGATCACACTGATAGGTCTAAGAGTCAAAGGGATCACACAAACAAGACTAGTGTCTGCTAATACTAGCTGATAGAATCAAAAAGGGAGAGAATGATCCATCATGGGAAGCAGGATACACAGTAGACTCATAGAATGCGAGATGTCCTAAATAGCATTCTAGCCTCAGAATCAGCCTTTAAGGCATTTGGATATGGCTGAAGAGCCCATGAGAGTATTTTAGGCATGGAAAGCCAAGAGACCCTGGAAAAAAAAAGAAGACCTAAATGAAAGATCTCTGGGAGTGAGATCCCAGTGGAAAGAACGGGGCCATCAAAGAAGGAGGTACCTTTCTCTGAAGGGAGGAGAGAACTTCCACTTTGACTATGACGCTGTTGGAATAAAATTGAAATCAGCAAACTCAAAAGGCTTCCATAGCCTTGGCAACTCATGACTAGAGCCTAGGGAGATTACTGACGCTATAAACAGGAGTGTCAAATTGTTAAGTCAACAACAGGAGTCACTGTGTACTTACTTCTCATGTGGGATCTGTCCTTAGTGTGTTGTCCAATGTGAAGTAATGCTATAACTAGTACTGAAACAGTATTTTACACTCTGTGTTTCTGTGTGGGTGCAAACTGATGAAATCTTTACTTAGTGTATACTGAATTGATCTTCTGTGTATAAAGATGGTTGAAAATGAATCTTGATGTAAGTGGAATGAGAGAGGGAGCGGGAGATGGGAGGGGTGTGAGTGGGAGGGAAATTATGGGGGGGGGAAGCCATTGTGGTCCATTAACTGTACTTTGAAAATTTATATTTACTAAATAAAAAAAAGATTGTTTTTCTCAATTCTTCACCTCAAGAATTGAAAATTCAGAGAGAATTGAGAGGCTGCTCATTGTCTATTTCACATGCCTTCTCTTCTTGAATTGTTTAGCTGATGTGTCAACAACATGGAACCAGGAAATCAAACAAGTATTTTAGGATTTCTACTCCTGGGCTTTTCTCAAGACTCAAAGCACCAACCTCTGCTATTTGGTTTGTTCCTGCTCATGCTTGTGGTCACGGTGCTTGGAAACCTGCTCATCATCCTGGCGATCGGCTCTCATGCCCACCTCCACACGCCTATGTACTTCTTCCTCTCCAACCTGTCTTTGGCTGACATCTGTTTCATCTCTACAACCATCCCAAAGATGCTGCAGGACATCAAGACTCAGAGCTATTCCATCACCTTCGCAGGCTGCATCACTCAAATGTACTTCTTCATGGTTTTTGGGGGCATGGACACACTTCTCCTCACCTGGATGGCCTACGATCGCTTTGTGGCCATCTGTCACCCCTTGCACTACCCAGTCATCATGAATCCCCGTCTCTGTGGTCTGCTGGTTCTTGTGTCCTGGTGCATAAGTCTGTCGTGTGCCCTGATCCAGACCCTGTTGATGCTGAGGCTGTCCTTCTGCACCAGAAGGGTAGTTGCACACTTTTATTGTGAACTTGCTCAGGTCCTGGTACTTGCCTGCTCTGACAAGTTCATCAATTACACCCTGCTCTACGTGGTGACTGCTCTTCTTGGCTTTGTTCCCCTCTCAGGGATCCTTTTCTCCTATATGCAAATTGTCTCCTCCATTCTGAAAATTCCGTCGACTGGTGGAAGATACAAGGCATTCTCCACGTGTGGGTCTCATCTAACTGTGGTTTCTCTGTTCTATGGGACAGGCCTTGGGGTGTATCTCAGTTCTGATGCCTCGTCCTCTTCCTGGAAGGGCATGGTGGCCTCGGTGATGTACACTGTGGTCACTCCCATGTTGAACCCCTTCATCTACAGCCTGAGGAACACGGACATTAAGAGAGCTTTACAAAGTCTTCTCGGGTTCAAACTCCATGTTCAGTGATGGGAACATTGTTCCTGGATTTGGGAGCTGCCGGAAGTCACACCAGTGGGACAAAAATATGCCGCCTCTGAACTGTACAGAGTTTTGATGCTTACCCACTCTGTTCTCCATCTTTGGTCAAAAGTACCCTGTGAGTACTTGGTGTGAAGCGTATGATGATTCCTGTTACCCTTATTCTACTCACTTCTTCCCTTCCCTTTACATTTTTACATTACTACACCTTGGTTGGAGTTTGCACTCCTACATATTAATACAATCACTCAAGTGAGATTCAGAAACTACTGCTTTTAAGTGAATTCACTTTACCATTAACCAGAGCTGTTTCTTACCAAATTCATTCACTCGACAATATTTACTGGAATCTATAGTGTACCAGATCTTCTAGGTACCTGGGATACAGCTGTGAGAAAATTTGGGCGATTGGATACTGGGTACCAAAATATAGTGAGAGAGAAGTAAGAAATTCTAGTGCTCTACATTACAGTGGGGTGACTATCATTCACAACAATATTTTATGAAGGAGTAGAACACAGGAGCTTATAGGTTCCAAATACAAAGAAAGCATAAGGCAATGGAAACCTAGCTACCTTATGTAAGCGTGTTGTCTATATGAATTAAACATTATACTTGGGGCTGGTGCAGTAGTGTACTGGGTAAAGCTGTTGCCTGTGGTGCTGGTGTCCCACGTGGGTGCGGGTTTGAATCCTGACTCTGATCCAGCTCCCTGCTAATGTGGATGTTGTATACACTCCCAGATATCACTCAGCTGTAAAAAATAAGGAAATTCTGTCTTTTACAACAAAATGGACGCAACTGGAAATCATCATACTTAGTGAAATAAGCCTGTCCCCACAAGACCAATACATATGTGTTCCATGATCTGTGATAACTATTATAGTACACAAAATGTATTGTATGATTATTTGCATTGCAATCTGCATAAAATTATCCATGTACTTAACTGTTGGGAGGAAATGGCTTAAAGTCTAAATGAAATATTTAAATGTTACTTTGTCTTTGGTTCTATTTTACTGAAACAAATTATGAATGACTAATTGAACAAAAAACCCCAAATATGGGTGAAGTGGTCATTTTTCTATTCAATTGTTGTTTAAAGCTATTATCTGTATTCCTACTAAACTAGGTTCTTTTTGCTTTTTACTTAAGTTTCATATTCAGTGAAGTAGTAAGCCAGTGTACTGTAATATAAATTTAAAATGTCATCTCAAAAACTAAAAAACAAGAAAGATCAAAGGAAGGACGGTGGGAAGGAAGGAGAAAGGGAGGGAGAGAGGAGGGGAATTTCATTATGTTCTTAGACTTACATCCACAAATCATATTGAATCTGTTAAAATTAATTAAAATTAAAATGAACATAATAAAAGACCTTTGAAGTCTTACCATAACCCATTTCACCTCCCTCTACTTTCTCACCTTCCAATATATCCATGAGCATAGGCTCATAAGATGACATATTCCATTTAGATGACACCTCATGGTTCTGTTTATTCAACAAGAAATTCTCATCTGCTTTAGGATAGAGGCCGTCAGGAGATCTGACCACAGGAGAGCTTTAGGCTAAGGAGAAAATGCTTAGGTTTCTGAAGGACCTTCCCGAGAATTAGGGAACTTCAGGGTTCAGATTCGGGCCTCAATGAAGGGGAATTTCCACAGCGCCTCCAGGCAGCAATGGAGAACTCTGGCTACAGCCAGAGACTTCTCTCTTCTTCTAGATTAGGCCTCTCTGCAAGGTCACCAGGTTATAAGCTTGGAGCTCTTAGCCTTGGCCAAGCCAGTGATGGCTCTGAGGGCCTCCCAGTCACTTCCGAGTCCTCGTCTGGACCCAGATTCAGTTCCCAAGCTTTCTATCTAGCATCCACAAACATCATTCAACACAATGATGCTGGGGCCAGTATTGTAGCACAGCAGGTTAAATCACCACCTCAATGCTAGCATCTCATGTGACTGCAGGTTCCTGTCCTTGCTGCCCACTTCTGGTCCAGCTCTGTGCAAATGTACCTGAGAAGGCAGTGGGTGATGACCCAAGTGCCTGGGCTCCTGCCATCGGTGTGGAGACCTGGATGGAATTCCAGGCTCCTGGCTTTGGCCTGGCCCAGCTCTAGCAGTTGTGGCCTTTCAGGGAGTGAGCCACAGGATGGATGATCCCTGTCTGTGTCTCTGCCTCTCTGTAACTCTGCCTTTCAAATAAATAAAATTTTTCTGAAAAATGGAAAATAGAAAATACCTCCTAAATGCTAGTTATTCTTTAATGATTCAGATAGCACCATGCACTAATGCCATCTATGGGATCAGTGATAATGTATGATTTTGTGTATTTGGCCCAAGTATACATATTAAATTTTTTTTTATTTTTTGACAGGCAGAGTGGACAGTGAGAGAGAGAGATAGAGAGAAAGGTCTTCCTTTTTGCCATTGGTTCACCCTCCAATGGCTGCCGCGGCTGGTGTGCTGCGGCCGGCGCACCATGCTGATCCGATGGCAGGAGCCAGGTACTTCTCCTGGTCTCCCATGGGGTGCAGGGCCCAAGGACTTGGGCCATCCTCCACTGCACTTCCTGGCCACAGCAGAGAGCTGGCCTGGAAGAGGGGCAACCGGGACAGAATCTGGTGCCCCGACTGGGACTAGAACCTGGGGTGCTGGAGCCGCGGCGCTGGCCACTTATTAAAATGTAAAGTACACCAGGTCATGGTTAGGATCAACATTGGACAAGACTTTTAAAAGGTAGCCCACTTTTTTGAGTATGCATCTTGTTTCATAAATGCACAAAATCACAAAAAAGGTGAAAATTTATGAAGATGAATGGAGCATAAAAAACTTTCTCATTATGAACATTGCATTTAATATATTTTTAAAGATTTATTTATTTGGAAAGCAGAATTATAGAGAGGCAGAAGGAGAGAGAGAGAGAAAGAGAGAGAGAGAGAGAGAGTGAGAGAGTGTTAGGTCTTCTATCTGCAGGTTAACTCCCCAGTTGGCTGCAATGGCTGGAGCTGCAGATCTGCAGCCAGGAGCCAGGAGCTTCTCCTGGGTCTCCTGCATGGGTGCAGGGGCCAAGCACCTGGGCCATCTTCGACTATTTCCCAAGACACAGCAGAGAGCTGGATTAGGAGTGGAGCAGCGAGGACTCGAACCAGTGCCCATATGGATGCTGGCACTGCAGGCGTTGGCTTTACGCACTATGCCTCAGCACTGGCCCCTGCATTGAATAAAATCCAGATACTGCACCCCCAGCAATCAATAGAAATGATCAATATTTTATATTTTTTTTTTGCATAGTATTTGAATAAAACAGGGCTGAAAGTTATTTTCCTCTGATTAGGATGAAAGGTGGAGTGACGCTGTTTATATTTTGTCTTAAACATTTTACTGCAATCATGAACTTATCACACATATTCCTGTTTTTCTAACACTCTTTAGCTGAGTGTCTCTAAAGCTAACCATATACAGGAAAGAAAATGAATGATGAAACAATGCTAAGAAGGTTGCTTTTTTTTACCACTAAGAAATATTGCTGAGATGTATGGATCTCAAAAATAGAAACCTCACTTGTAAATTGCTCTAATCCAAAATATAGACACAGGGCTGGGTACTGGATGCTTATTTCCTTTTCTTTTTATTGTGGAACTTGCATTATGAATATATTGCTCTGCTGACAGTCTCCTATGAGTCCCTCTTGTGCTCTTACTTCTCTTCATTCTTCCCCTTTGGTTCCTTTGATTTTGTAATTCCAGGGGCTCAGTCCTTATGCTGACTGATGTTTCCTCTCTTATAGAGTGCTCCTGAGCACTATACTGAACACTCCACATACCCACCGTGTTATTTATCACTAATTCTCCATTTGCTTTTTTAAAAAAGATTTATTTATTTGAAAGGCAGGAATTACAGAGATAGGAGAGCGAGAGTGAGAGAGAGAGAGAGAGAAGGAGAGTGAGAGTGAGAGAGAGAAATCTTCCATCTGCTGGTTCATTCCCCAAATGGCCACATTGGCCAGTGTTGGGCCAGGCCTAAGTCAGGATCTAGGAACCTCATCCAGGTGTCCCATATGGGTGGCAGGAACCCAACTACTAGGGCCACTTTCTGTTGCTTTCCCAGGCACATTAGCAGGGAGCTGAATGGGGAATGGAGCATCCAGGACTTGAACTGGCCCCTGTATGGATTACAGTGTTGCAGGTGGTGGCTTAACTTGTTATGCCACAATGCCAGCCCCTCTGTTTGCTTTTTATATCTCTTTATTGTTATTCACATTCTGCTCAGGTGTTGCTTTCCTGAATCCTTTCAGTCATCTATCTGTGTCCTCTTTTAGCTTACTGACCATCTTTAAGATACTCAAATGTGTTGTCAGACCTTCAATATCTCCATTTCTTTAAGGCAGACTGAGTAGCTTATTTATGGGCATTTAATTTGTTCCTTTGACTGGGCCATATTTCTTTGTTTCTATGCATTCTCTGTATTCTCTGTTGAGATCTGAATATTGAAAAAAAAGGCTTCTCCCAGTCTTTATGGATTGGTGTCATACAGGGAAAGACATTCACCAATACACTGGCTAGAGATTGTGGTGGACAGCCTAAGGTTTTCTGGGGAGCATCTTCTCTGCGCTTGTGTGTGTGTGTGTGATTTTGTAGATGGAGGAGTTTGACTTTGTTCTCAAGGACTCATCCTCTCTTGCTCCCCTTGGTGATCTTCTGTGGTCCTGCAGTTTCTGTAACAAGATGTACTGCCACTGTTCTTAGGGGCCCCTGATCTGGTCCCCACACTGCATTGCCATCACTTTAGTTTTATAAGTCAGGAAAGTCATGAACCAGCTCCTCAGGAAGCTCCTGAGAAGACAGAACCATGGATGAACACGGCACCTTCACTTTATCTCCCAAGAGAAAACCAGGGACTTGGGAATTTAATTCTTCTTCTGCCCCATGGTTCCTGGTATAGAGGGATGTGGTGGGTAAATGCAACACATGCTCTTATCTGTTGACGTAGCTCTCCTTGGCTTTGTGCCCCTTGGGGAGGTGCAATCTCTTAATTGGTTTGTGGGGTTGTCAGAAAGGCAATTTGGTCCATGGATGTTGTGACAGCATAGGTTTGTGAGGGAAATGAAGATCTGGGTCGTCTTCTTCCACCTTCCTCACAGATATCACTATGGCCCAAAGTGTATTTCATTAAAGACTTACTGAGCTGATAACACATGCTAGACATCAAACGAAAATGTAGTCAGGAATGAAATGATGAGCAAAAATCTGAAGCCAACTTCTACACAGAATGTGCAGAAGTTGACCTTCCACACAGAATGATTGCAGCTGATAGTGACATCATTGGAGAGATTCTGTGGTAGAAAGGCAATGAGTCACTCCTTGGATTACATGACTATGGATACACCATGGAGCACTATGGTGGAATCTAAATATACACACAATACAGAGATGGATCTGCGCATCTGACAGTTCTCTGAGTGGGAAATTTGGTGGACA